GTCTTCAGCTGAGGAGGACACGGAGGTAAATTGGGCGACGGCGACGACATCTTCTCTTGTTGTTGTTGTGACGATGAGACACCTGCGCGTTCGAGGCCCAGCGATTTTTTTATTTATTTTTTTTTCGTAATTAGAATTATAAGTGGGGATTTTTTTTAAAGGTGTTTGATTTTTAAAAATTGGTTCTGGGTTTTTGTGGCTTGTTGAAGGAGCCGCTGTTTGTTTATTTTCAGCGAGTTGAGGTTATACTTGAATGTCGTCTTGCATATTTTGTTTTTTTCTTTTCCATTTATTACGATATTAAGTACTGTGTGTGTGTGTGTGTGTGTGTGTGCATGTATATGTAGATAGAAACATGTTTGAGTGTGTGTATGTGTGTGCGCGCGCGCGTGTGTGCGTGTATACATACATATATATAAACAGATAGATGGTTAGGTACATAGATATAGATATATGTAAGTATAACACGCACACACACACACACACACCATATATATATATATATATATATATATATATATATATATATATATATATATATATATATATATATATATATATTATATATATATATATATACATATATATATACATATATATATATACATATATATATACATATATATATATATACATATATATATATATATATATATATATATATATATATATATATATATATATACATATATATATATATATATATATATATACGTACACACACACACACATATGTATATATGGTGGCATCGAAGAGGCGCTAGTTAGCGCAGAAGCTTAGGGCAGGATCTGGTGTGGCTGAATAACTCGATCCTGGAGTGGCAGTCTTTGCTGCAGGTTAGGCAGATGGGTGATGTGCGTTCGCGCACAGATGCTGCACATTCTTTCCTTGCTGCTCTCCTGTGAGTTACTTGGGCTCTGGCGTTAGCTTCTACCTAGTAAGCTCCCCTTTTCACACTTTGGCACCAAGTGTCTCGAAGGCGGTGTCCTAAGAGTTGATTCCAATTTGCTCAGATCGCAAGTCACGCTTGCAGACGTCCTTGTAGGGAAGCAATGCGTCGGACGCCCTCCCACGTCTCCATATAGGACTCTTCTTGGTAGACGTTTGGGCTCCATGTGGTAGTTCCGTATTATCGGCGGTGTTGACAGGGAGGGATGCTGCACCTTGCGCTAAGATGTTGGTCTTCCTAAGACTGATCATCAACCCAAACTTCTTGCATGCATGTCTTCTCGACTAGATGCTGTAGCCCTTCTTCGCTGTGGGATGTTATAGCAGCGTCATCAGAACAACAGAAGCTCTCGCATGAGGACCTTGTCGACTATGGTTTTGGCACGGAGTCTGACAATGTTGAACAGTTTCCCATCTGACCTCGTTCGGATGTAGACGCCTTCTGGGCAGTCTGCAAAAGCGGAGTGGAGCAGCATCGAGATGATCCCGAACAAGGTTGCGGCTAGGACACAACCCTGCTTCACTCCACTGCTGACTGGGAAGGCGTCTGAGGTGGCTCCATCAGAGCAGACGGTGCTTTGCATATCTTGGTGGAACGAGGTAATAATGCCTTAGGGGGACAGCCGATCCGGAAGAGCCCACTTTGGCTAGCCAAGACAAAGGCTCTGGGCAGGCCCAATGACCATTGGGGGGCACACGGGTTGGCCAATCAGATTTCAGGGGGGGGCAGGTACCCCCCTGTGCCACCATGGAAGCCCCGCCTGTGCACACCGTGACCCAGGATAGAATCGCGAAGCAAAGCTCTATATTCGGTTTAAGGCGACCTGGGCGAAGACCTTGCCTACGATACCCAGGAGAGATGCAGCGGTAGTTATTACAGTCACTGCGGTCGCCCTTGTTCTTAAACAACGTGACTATGTTGGCGTGTCTCACGTCTTAAGGGATGTGTCCTTCCATCCAGCACAAGGAGAGGAGATCGTAAAGTGGCTGAAAGATGGCTGTCTTCCCATGTTTCAGAACTTCTGGGGGGATGCCTTGCTCCCAGCTCATCGAAGGGTGTTGTGTGTGCTAGGGTTCTGCTTGTATGCTAGCAGCATTTTCCTCTTGGTCTCAGTGATTGGGTGCATTTCGTCCCAGCATGGCTCAAACCAGTCAGCATTCTTTCTTTCTAAATGCAGCCATGGCCGAGTCATATATGGCATCGTGCAGGTGAAACCATGTGGTGTCTGCATTGTCCGAGTTGTTACTTGAATACACAGTAAGTCATCCCTGTAGGCTGTTGGCGAAGCACTGAGCCTTGGTTAGGTTAGGTTAGGCTACTTGAACAGTGTTCAAGTAGCCTCTGTCCGTTCTCGTTCATCCTGCCTATGCCGAAGTGGCCGAGGCAGGTAGGCCATGCTTGCCAGTCTGTCCCAACGCGGGAATTGAAGCCGCCTAGCATGTATATACCTTCAGAGCTGGGGATGCCGGGCACTACATCGAGCCTCATAGAATTGGACTTTGGCTTCTGGGCTGAAGGCGAGTGTTGGAGTGTGGGCAGAGATGATGTTTACAAAGTCCAACGACGTCTTCATGCGTAGGGTAAGGAGTCTTGTTAAACCCCCAATGAGGGTTTCTATGGTGGCAATCACCGAGTTCCTCACAGCAAAACCTACACTGTGCTGCCTGGATTCGTCTAGGGACAACCCTTGCCAAAAGGTGGTCTCTTTAAGGGACCCACTGTCAGCCAACTGTTTCCTGGAGATTGGCGACATCAATGTTGAGTCATGCCAGCTCCTTGCCTTGTTGTCGATGATGGTCTTGCGGGAGTCATCCACTGGCTGGAGATCAGTGGAGTCCAGAGCACATGGTGCGCATGTTCCAGCTTGCAATACGAAGAGCTGGTTTTCATTTTTTTTTCTTTTGACTGCTTGGTACAGGTTTTCGGCCACTTGACGGGGCGGCACCTTACTGGCTGGGGGCTGCCCAGTGAAGCTGCGAAGGCTTCTCTCCTGGCGCTCCTCCTTATGCCAATAGTTGAGCTTAGAACCGGTGAATTGTCTTGTCTTGTGATGTGCCAGAGTCTTGCGACGCAGAAGAAAAAGTACCGAGATGTTGCCATTTTGTTTACTTAATGTTTTTTTTAATGATTGGTGAAACCTTGAGGTATATAGCCTTTAGTTTCTTAAGCTGTCAGGTTCGCAGTGATGCAGTCGCAGGAGGAGAGGGAAGAAAAGGTGGAGGAGGAGGAAGAAGAAATAGGAATGAGTATTTTCACATTCCTCTTCATGTGCTTATATTGTCTGAAGGGTGGTGTCAGATCTGTCTATCTTAAGAGCTTTGGAAAAAGAAGACAACAAGAGGAAAACAATGAAAAAGTAGAAGGGAAGAATAGGAAGAATAGGAATAGGAGGAGGAGGAGGAAGAATAATTAGAAGAGTAAGAAAAAAATGAAAGAGGAATGGAAGAAGAAAGGAAGAGCAAGAGGGTAAAAAGATGAGAAGAGGAGGAATGTAGCAAGTACAAAAAAAGATAAAATGAAAGAAAAAAGAAAAGGGAAGCCCTTGAAAAGTACCTTGCCACTGCCATGTCTTGACTCTTATCTTTCTTAAAGTACTAAAACAATCTAAAACACCATCAGATGCCATAAAACTTGATCCCTAGAATGTAAATTCTGAACACAAAAACATATCCTCCTGAATCAAGATTATGACCAGTTTGTGTTCTGGTGATCCCTCTTGTAGGTTTATGGTGTTGACTTTGTTTTTAGAATGTTGCTTGACTTTCATACCACCCATAATTGTTAAAATTTGCAGGCACAGACAAGAGGAATATACCAAGAAATAGACACATCTGAGTGCATACATATACCCAGAGATTTCTAATTCTAAAAATTAATAATATACTCTTTGAAGGAATAAATAGCCAAAGTCTAATACCATTATGTATTTCACTGAAATATTTCTTTCATCATACAATAATAAAAAAACATTTGTTTTTTTTTGCAGATTCACAAATATATCTTGTTTGTTAAGATAATATGCCATTCCATAAAAAATTAGGACTTTACTATAATTTTTACGAAATCTTAACCTACTGTATCTTCAAAGCTACAAAAAGCCATTAAGAAATAAAGAAATAATATTCTATAGTGATGTTAATACCGATAACACTATATTTACCACATTTTTAAGAACATAGCATATATATCCCTAAATTCCTATACAAAGCTCTAACTGTATTCCAAATATTGCCAATAAGGGGAAAAAAAGAAGAAATGAAATTCCATAACAGATAATATGGATAAAACGATACTGTTCAAAAAGATATATCAAGAATTCAGTAATGAGACAGATATAGAAGATTTTTTTTTTCTTTCTTTTTTGTATCCTTTATATAGCAAATAAAACTTCACCTACATACATCTTTTCATATAAGGCATTCCATAAAGACATCTTGCCATACCCTTATATTTAAACTCAGGGCAGAGACATTAAAGATAAAAATAAATTTTCACCGCCAAGAAGCATTCCCCTAGCAGGCCAATTTCAACTTATCAAAAACTAAAATAGAATTCTATACATAGAGCATCTGCTTTTTCTTTTTTCTTTGTCCTCTTCTTTCCTTCATTTTTTTTCTTCTATATGTATAGGGTCTACAAGTTTTCTTGTCACATTTTCCGTGGTGATCTTGTGCTTTAAGGCTTCCTTCTGCTGCCACTCTAGGTGTTCCAGGGATGCATGGCACACGCGGACTAGGAACTCTGCACCAGAACGCATCTGCTCCTTGCCAGAGACCTTGAAATTCTCCAACCTGAAAAGGCAGGATTTTTTTTTAGATCATCTCTGCAATTATCTATCTATTCATATTATGCATATAATTGTCAGATTGTCAATTCATTTTACTGCACAGGAGCCATAAATTACTGAGGTAACAGGGAGTGGATGGAAGAGAAAGCGTGAAAGAATATCAGTTAAAAGTGCAGGCGACGAAACAGATACAGGAAAACAGAAGGGAGAATGATAAGAGTTAACCCAGTGCCACCAAGAAAATGTGGTGATCACTGTATCATTTTCTTGTGAGATGTCTCAACACACAGATGGCTTCACAAGTGCTTAACCACCAAGGAGTCAATTAAAAGAACTCATGACTTTACTTGATTTCACCTTTCCTAAGTTTTACTAATGCTATCAGTATCAATGCTGTTAGTAGTATTGCAGACATTATAATCATTACAATATTACTGACATCACTAATAGCAATACAAGATAAAAGAAAAAACAGGAACAGTGTAAACAGGTGAGGCAGGTAGCACTGGTAACTGGCTCAATGTTGACTAAGTAAGTGGAGCCATTTATGTTTAAGAAAATGAATAATCTCACAGTGGGTACAACATGTACTTGCATGCTATCACCGGCAACATTGGTTTAACGAAACAAGACACAGAAAACAAAAAAAGGAAAGAGATACATAAGGAAAGCAAAAGGGATGACAAATAAGAATGCTGAGAAGGGAAATAAACAAGCAAGAAAGAAAAAAAAGTACACCAAGTTACTGAATTAGAAAAGAATAAGAAAAAGGTAATTAGAAAGGACCCAACACAGCTTTTTCTTCTTCTTTTCTAAGAATTAAACTTGAAATTAAGAATAACACACAGAGACTAAGAGAGAGGACTTACTCTTCCTTGGCTTGATCTACTGCACACTGCTTCTGGTAAAGTGATCCCTTCTGCGTCTTCCGAGCCTCCAGGATTTGCTGGTCTATTCGGTCGCTCTCCACCTGCATCTCCTTTTCCTGTGTGCACAGGGATATTTTCTGGTTAATATCATATAAAGTCTGTATATAATTCCTTATATAATACTGTATGGATAATAACTTGCATTACTTTGTCTAAGGGGAAAGCTGAAGTCATGGATACAGGCTTTTAAGCAGGTAATTCACAGAAGCTTCAGTAAAGAAAATTCTTCTATATACAAGTTATTATAATCTGTACACAGAAGATGGTTTCTATTCATCTTACTGTTCTTTATCTCACAGAAAACTATCTAATCATCAAACATCTACATTTCTGAAAAAACAAAACAGCATCAAGACCGTATCATCTAATGAAAATACAGAACAGCATTGAAGAACAGATTGAAGACGACACTTTATAGAGCTGTGACATAAGCTTGTCAAGCCTTAAGGCATACTCTTTCTTGCTTGACACAGGTGATGAAGACTATTGTGACATTACCCGACGCTTGCTATTCTTACCCTTTATCTCTAACCACAGACAATTTTGCTTCAATGTTACAAGGATATCTATATCAGATTTTGTGATTTTTTCATATATCTAAAACTGCTAAAACTTTTTAGTTATCATTTGAAGGAGAAAACATCAGAGTCTGCCATGGAGTAATTTACAAGTACAGCTAGCATATTTTATTCTTTCCAAACTACTAATATTCACAAAAATGAACAATAAATTTGCCATCTTTTATCTATTGTGTGTGCATAGTTTTATTTGGAATAAAAAGACATGTGGATATACTGTTTGTTCTTAACAAGTAATGTATCGGACTGATTCATCAAATTAAATATGATTACATAAATGTAGTTCAGTCTAAGTAATAGTAACATATTTCCATTAAAATCACTGATAGTGTGAAATGTTACATTCTAGCACAGTTTATCTAGTAACAAAAAACAAAAGTTTTAAAATCAAAGATTCCAAAAGAGTACCAATACAAATCAAAGTGATAGCTTACCTCAGCTGTAATTTCATTTTTCGTCATTAAAATTTCCTCCTCCATTCTTCGTAGCTTGCTCTCAAGCTTTGTCAACTGGTCTTTTTTCTCAAGTAGCATCTCTTTCACCTGTAAAGAATACAATCAATTTCCTTGGGCCACATTTTACCTCGCAAAATGCAACACATAATTAGCATTCCATGAACAAGACAATGAACAATCCCACATACACTAAGAGAGAATACTTGCCATGCTTAATTCTTCCTCCTTTCGCATTAGCAGGTTCTGGGCCTCGTACATGCCCTGTTTCGCATCCTTCTTTCTACGTCGTAGCTCGTCAAGCAATGTGGTCTGCCAGTGGCATTTATTCTCAGCTATGTCAGCTGATGAGATTTCATAATCATCCGGAAGGTCTAGTTGACGGACCAGTTTATTGTAGGCACATATACTTTCACTCAATTTTGACTGAGCTTTGCCCAATTCCATCTCTAGTGACCATATCTGAAAGGAAATATCATAAATAAAAATAAATAATCAAAGCTATAATTCTGAATCCCCATACAAAAAATACCGAAACAGTTAAGAAATCTCTCCAGTAAAAATCAATTTACCTGATATCATAATATTGCTTTCTTTATAAAACAGTGAGCAGAATCACCATGGTTTTGAACAGAGTATTTTCATCATAACTGTTCTTTACTATCAGTCCTTAAAAATATCCAGATTCTAATTTTTGCAGGGAAGGGAACATATTCAAATTGAATTTACCTAAATCAAGAAAATAATCATCAAACCATTAATGAAATGAATCCTCTAAGACAATACAAGTACACACACACACATACATTTATATATAGACATACACATATATAAAGATACATACAAGTATATGTACATATATATATAATATATATATATATATATATATATATATATAGGCTATACATATATGTATACACACCACACACACATTATATATATATATGTGTGTGTGTGTGTGTGTGTGTGTGTGTGTGTGTGTGTGTGTGTGTGTGTGTGTGTGTTGTGTGTGTGTGTGTGTGTGTGTGTGTGTATGTGTGTGTGTGTGTATGTGTGTGTGTGTGTGTGTGTGTGTGTGTGTATGTGTGTGTGTGTGTGTATGTGTGTGTGTGTGTGTGTGTGTGTGTGTGTGTGTGTGTGTGTGTGTGTGTGTGTGTGTGTGTGTGTGTGTATGTGTGTGTGTGTATGTGTGTGTGTGTGTATATGTGTGTGTGTGTGTGTGTGTGTGTGTGTGTGTGTGTGTGTGTGTGTGTGTGTGTATGTGTGTGTGTGTGTATGTGTGTGTGTATGTGTGTGTGTGTGTGTGTGTGTGTGTGTGTGTGTGTGTGTGTGTGTGTGTGTGTGTGTGTGTGTGTGTGTGTGTGTGCATGTGTGTGTGCGTGTGTGTGCGTGTGTGTGCGTGTGTGTGTGCTGTGCGTGTGCGTGAGCGTGTGCATGTGTGTGTGTGTGTGCGTGCGTGTATCACACAAGAGCAAAAGAATGAATACGTCCAGGAAGTCAACTTAGAAATTTCTGACATTGCTTTCCTTTTAAAGAATGAGCTTCAAGATCCCCAAAAGGGAATAATAAAAGGGAATAATCAAGAGATTCTGTCTTAAGTGTATCCTACTACATTCATTCTAGAAATATAAATGGATAGTAACTGAAAGAAGAGAATAGACAAACCATGAAAAGAAGTTGTTGAAGATGAAGAAGACGAAGGAGAAGAAGAAGAAGAAAGATGTAACACTTTACCTCAGAGTCCTGCTCTTTTCCCTCAGCTTGGAGCTGTGATATAATAGTAGCGACATCGTTTGCATGGTTCTTAAATCTTGCCAGTTCCCCTACATTCAAAGCCTGCTGTTCCTTCAGAGTTTCCAAGCGGGTAACTTCCTCAAAAACCTGGGAAAACATGGAAGCACGAGTGTCAAAAGGCTATAAAAATGTAGAACCATGACTGTCAAAAACCTGTAAAAGTACAGAAGCATGAGTGTTAAAATCCTGGGAAAATATGGAAGCATGAGTGGTGTTGTATCTTTTAGCTTCTAAATACTTGGCTGAAAATAACATTTCTGATAATTCTGAAATTTTAGGATATCATTCTTCTATTAAAAAGATTTGGTTAATGAGAATTTTTTATATTTGCTTACTGAGATATCAATGTCACTTTACCACTATGCAAAAAGAATATCATACCTGCTTTTTAGCAGCATTAAGCTCCGCCAGTTTTGATTCCAGCTGTGAACGTTCACCATCTCTTGCAGAAATATGTACCTGCAGCTCTCTACAGTAATCTGACATTTTTTCGTTGTCATCTACAAGCTGTTAAAAGAATTTACACAATGAATGACTTCATTTTCATATAAAGTAAGAAAGTAAGAAAGAAAGAAAATTATAACAAAAAATACATCATTTGGCTTAATGAATTTTATAACACTATGCTTTCATTCACTTAAAAAAAAAAGGTCCTAATATGATCATCACTGAAGATATTAATTGGACTGCTACCTGAGTGTACTGGTGATGCAACTGCTGCAGTCTCTCGGGTCCATTGTTGAGGTTGTTCACCATGTCCTCAAGTCTTTCATCCTCCTCCTGTAGTTGCAGAAGATCCTGTGCTCTCACACCCTGTACTTTCTCTAGTATGTGCCTGTACTCCTGCAGGTACCAGAAAGTAGGTAAGAGTCTGTAGTGCTGTTTATCCTAATACCTTTATAAGCAATATGTTGTTGCATAATCAGTGAAATCTTTCATCATTTACAACTATTTACTCAGCAAATATAAACTTTACTTCAAAACCTCAGTAACTCTGCTTATATCTTATTAGCAGAGCATCCATACTTTTCAAACAAATAATCACCCTAATCACAAATAACCCCCCCCCCCCACACACACACACAAGTGAATTCTGACACTTACTTCTAAATGAGCCTCAATCTTTTCTGTGTCATCTTCGCAGTTGGCAAGTTCAACCAGTACAGTAAACTTAGTTTTGGCAAGATTGATGTCACTGTCAAAGTCACTTGGAAAGGCAATGGGCATAGGGTCGATGCAACTAATCATGTTCACCACGTCAACCAACCATGCCAGCATGGCCAGAACAGATGGCCATGTGTGAGGAGATCCAACTGTTTGTGATAGAGCATGATGAGTGTTACAAATCAAATATAATAAAAAATACATATCATGAATTTTTTACCCACATATTCAAATGAACTTAATGTATTGGGATCTGGAAGTATAAGATGTACCAGAAAAAGGAAAGGAAGAGGATGAGAAAGAAAACAGAATATGGAAAAAAAGGATAAGAGGTAGAATAAATGGACAGAACAGTCATAAAAATTATACTGAGGTTCCTATAAACCAACCAACAATATCATATCATCTTTGAAGTTAGTTCTGCCTCAAAACACATCTATTTTGACATGAAATATGTTTCCTGGATTTCCACTTACTTAAACAAAGATAAAGTAAAATAAGTAAATATTACCTATAGAGAGCAAAATAAAAGAAAATCAACACACCCGTAATGAAGGATGATTTTGACATCTGCACTGGATATTTCAAAAGCTTTAACAAGCGCGGAATTTCCTCTTCGAATCTGTTTGGCAAATTATATTGACCATCAAGGTGCCTGTATATAAACTGAAAATAAATGTAAAAAAATATTAGAATCCATATCATTATAATAAATCTCCTTTCATATGTAATTTTGGATATATCTAAATTCTTACTAATCAGTGGATAGAGTGCACTGAAGATTAAAACTCAGTCACAATATCCACACAGAAGAGAGAGAAAAAAAAATAAACAATACAAAAGTAAATAATAAGTCTAAAACACATACGCTGAAGATGTTAGCAAAATCTTTTGTGGAAGGTGTGAGGAGTGTTCTTCGCTGAACCAGCTGTTCATAGCTCCTGCTGACAAGGAAATCCAGAATTTTGTCCACACACTGGCTCTTAAAACTGGAGTCTGTGATGGGGCGGATCTCCTTCCTCACTTTTGTTCCCATGCTGGAGTTGCGCGCTGAATCCATTGACAGTCTGTTAGTGTAATGGGTGAGAATAAGTTCAGGATATAAGATACCAGACTGTTCTCTCAAAACATTACCTTATATAAGTCTTGATATATTAGCCCAAATTCTAATCACTTGAAATATGTAGTTGTAAAAGTATTCAAATCTGAAAATGTTATGGAAAAAAAAAAAAAGAGAAAATCATAAAAATATATATTACATATACAATTTGTTTTTTCTTTCCTTCCTTTCTTTTTCATCTTTTACTCTTTAAAATATCATGCCTATTTAGGGAATATACAGATTTTTATGAATTGGAAAAAGTACTTTTACTATGTGGTAAAGATTTATGTATTCCTAAGCATTGTCATAGAAACAATGAAGTCAAGCCTGCAGTAACTGATGACAAATACATAGTTAAACACCAATATTTCCAGTCTCTTTCCTATAAGAAATTGGAAAAAAAAGAAAAAGAAAAAAATGTTGCATAATTCCCCTAACAATGAGTCACAATTCTATGATGAGAAACTATGCAAACAATACTCTCAAAGCACTACAGAAGAACTCAATCATGCCACTAACCTGCTGACACTGGGAGGAGCCAACATGCTTGAGACGGGGACATTGTTCCTAGTGGGGGTAAATCTTCCCGAAGCGATGGAGAGTCTGCTGAGTCCTTCCGCACTGATGCGCTTACTTCTACTGGCTAGTTTCTTAGCACTGTCTACTTGTGAGGCTTTGGGAAGGTAAGACTTCCTCATCTGTTGCCCTGCACTCCGCCTGAAGTGTCGAAATTACTTTGCTAGCTTGCATAATACGATGTATCAACAAATTCATGCACATGTCATTGCATCGCTAGACCTTATCAAAGAACATACATTTAACTTTTTATATTTATACATAAAAATAGAGCCAATTCAGTAATTACAGTCAAATCTTTTAAAATTGATGTGGTTTCAAGTATAATGTTTTTATTTACAAGATAGTCCTAACTCACCTGTTATTTGGAGTATTGTCTGTATTTCGAGGTTTCAGGGTTCCAGGGCGCTGAACACTTCCAGCCCCTAAATTTGATTTTCGCATCATTTTGGCCTGGAAATTAAGAAAAACAAACTGAAAAAAATTATATATTTAATGAACACAAAATGATGGACTGGCCCATACGCCGATTTTGAAGCCACTCGGAAACTTATTTTCAGCTTGAAAATGTACCGGTGCTAGTGGGTCAAAATACTGATAGCTTTTCATTTTGGGCTCTGAGACACTTGTGTCAAATAATCATTTTTTTGAGCTGCGAAGAAAGTCTATAGAAGATGGGTTCCTCTGAATCACTCCCTCTATTGTTTGCAAATATCCTTTTCCGTTTAAAAGAAGGCTGTATGAAACTGGACTGGCACCCAATTTCCAATTTCCTTGGTGCCTTACATACCCTCCCTTAATATTAGGGTTAGGTATGTGAGATGGGGTTTTCTACAGCAAAATCCCTCCCAAATTGAGTACTATACGGTAAAATAAATAATTAGCAACGGTACCGTAGTGATTCGGTGCGCAAGTCTTTAAAACATTTTCTCGCAAGATAAACATGCATGAAAAGTGGGAAGATTGGAGCTGTCATTTTGTTTTCACAAGAAATCGTATATAATCCCTAATCTTACTGCATATAAATTATTTCTTTATATTCCTGGGGATTTAAAAGGCTCATAACAACATGAGAAAACGAGAATTTGGGAAAAATACTTACAAAATCGCGACTTTTTGCTCACAATGACACTGTCAAGCTTTGTTTACAAGTTTGAATTCGCGTTCG